ATATACAACCATTTACTCTATAATGATATATGTTCAAGGGTTCGCAGATTGGGAAAAAAAAGGAATTGCAGGGAAAAGAAAGAGAAATGGAAAGACGAAGCATACGTAACCGGAGTAAAATGCCGCATGGTGTTCAGGTGAATTCACGAATATGACCCTTGATTATCAATTATGCTGGAGATTTAAGGTGGGTATTTTGGTAAATGAGACAGTACGTCTGTCGCCAACGGATAGGGGTATTTTTCTAAATGGCTTATCAGTACTCATTCTTGTCAAAATGTCTATAATACCCTTAATGAAATGGCTTGTCACATTTTGCATAAAATATCCTGATTTATTGGATAGTTTCAAAATTCTTCTATTTTTTTCATTTCGAATTTTAATATATAGTTCCATCCTTTGATCTAATAAATTAGCATAATCTGTAATATAATTGTCATATAATTCTTTAAGATTATCATATTCCTTAGACTATATATCCATAGTTTCTAGTTGAGAAAAAATACTTTTTATTTTTTCTAATAATCTTTCTAATAGATTATCTAGTCTCTTAATTGTATAGCCTGGCATCATATAGATAATTCCTTACTAGCTTTATGATAATAATAACATGATAGATAAGTTTTTGCAAACATGATAAGTAATAATCCCTACGATTCTTTCAAGATATTAGAAGAATTCTTTCTAAATTTAACAAAGACAATAATTTTACCTTACTTTTGATTTTAAATCTGTATTCTTAGAATCGAGTGACCTTCAAACTCTGAATCTACAAATTGCTCCATCAAACGGCCTTTTGCCTCAATGGGAATTCTGCTATTTCAACTTCTTGCCCTCACTATATCTTTTTTTAGAATTAAGAATAAGGATCTTTAAGTAAAGAAAATTCTCTCTTTGTTAAAGTAAGAAAGAGATTATCTTCTTTAATCTATCAAGAATCTATGGGATAGGAAGTTTAGAAACTCATATTTTTCTGATATCAAAAGATTGAAATTTTATTTATATAATGATTTATACAAGGTTTCTATTGTATACAAGTGATTTCCAGAAAACTGGTTTTAAAACAAAGTTTAAAGAAAGAGAATGGTTTCTGACTCGAGATGCTCCATTCTCTCCCAAAGACCTCTATTTATACATGACTCAAACTTACTATTATTGGTCTATTACATCATTGCATACATCAGAATTTGAAAAAAGGCTCACATGCCTCTCTATTCTTTTCCTCCTCGAGTCTACATTTTCACATGCGTTTTTTGCTTTTTCATCAAAGAGACATATTTTCCTCTATTATTGTTTCTCCATCTTTGGCTCCATATGCAGCGGCTAGATGCTTTGGTAGTGGTAGGTCCCCTTTTATTTTTCTCAATTCATCTTTTATCTTGAAGAATCAATCTCTGCATGTGGGGCACTTCCTCAATTTGCATGATTCTTGGATTGTTGTAGGACTTCCATTAATTTGATGAGTATCAAATTTTTGGATATATTCTTTCAAAATAGTAGATTTTTCTTTTCCATTATTCGTAAGGAGTGTCCATCTTTCATATTGGCATAAGCATCTGAATTTTTTATCATATAAGTTCTTTGCAATGTTATAAAAAATTTTCATCCCCAAAACTCTTCGGGATTTTATCCATAATTTATTGATTTTAGGCAAAGGTTTATTATTTCGGCCAACTTCAATCTGGAAATCTCGAACAACATATCCAATTGTGATAATATGTTCAGCAGGATAGTATATCCTTCCATCAACCTCGGGACTTATTGAATAAAATTTGATATAAATCGATCTTCCTTGGACATATTTTGAAACTTCTGCCCTGAATATATCATCAAAATTTTCAATTTCTTTTAAATCTTTTCATGAATAGATTAAATCTAGAAATCCATAATCTGCTGTCATTTTAATCATGAAAGGATCTGCATCTTTAGTAATTATTAATCTGGGATAAACATGATCTCCCGATGCAATAAAATATGATTCATTTTCTTCCAATTCATAAACAATTTTGGCAAATGATCTATATTCTTCTTCTTTTGATGATAAAGGGGTATCATCATTTTCATCAGTTTTGATTCTGATAACTTTTGTTTGATATTGTTGGGTCCACTGCTGCTTCCTGGCTGTGTACCTGTTTGTATTT